AAACCGCAGGTGCGGCTCAGGTCGAGACAGGAATTCTTTACTTGCAGAGTGGTGAACGCGTGGAATGCGTTAGATGACGAAGTAGTGGCTGCCCCTTCTGTGACTATCTTTAAGAAAAAACTATATGCTTTCATGGACAGGCAAAAAGGTGGGGGGCAATGTTGACCGTAGGTACTAGACAGTAAGCAACTAGGATAGTCAAAAAACAAAAACAAAAAAAAAAACAAAACAAAACAAAAATACAAAAATATTCAGCTTTAAGAGGGTTAGGCCTAGCCTAAAATTAAGGAACGCTCGACCTCGACACGTGATATCGAAATGGGCGAAATCGCCTCTTGATGTCACTAACTATCTTGAATCTTGAGTTGATTCTGAATAGAAATGCATTCGCGGAACACTGATTGAATTGGAGAATTCTCGCAAGGAAATCCCCATGCTTCCTCCTTTCCGAATACCCAACAATAACGAGTTACTTCTCTGATCTCTGCCTCATGGGACTGGAGAGCAGTTCAGTGGTAACACATGCAAGTCCCAATTCAATATGTGGTGACGATTTATCTCAAAAAAGCCATTGCTCGGGTGGATTTTGTGCTGACAGCAGAGAGGGTTTCAATGCAATGGGATTTGGATTTTTAGTTTATCTTTAGTTCAGTCAAAAGAAGGCATTAAAAGTTCAGTATCACTTTCACGCACGCTGTTGAAATGTCATGTTTTCCACTTCCCTTTACCAGCAAAGGCACTATCGTGAGAAATAATCCATTCCTAGCAGTAAACTGGAAAAGTAAAACATGAGATCTGTCTCTCAGAAATATATATAATATGCAGTACTTTAAATGGACGGCTTTCGGATCACATATCCCTTAATGCTCCACGTTACCCATCCACATATACTCCGTAAAGCCAAACGCGATAACATTTTCAGCTATCGATAACAATGCATGAAACTGTACTTTTGTCCGACAAAAACCACTTGTCACTCAAATTACAGGATGGTTATGAAGTCCCGTGGGGTGTTTTCAGAGCCGTAGTGACCAAAGTAGATGGAGTTTCATTGCCAAACTTGCAGGAAGCACAGATAAGGTCATGGGAAGGTCATTTGTTACATAAAAGTTGAGATGGTGCCACTCCCATCCCTTAGCACAGTGGTTCTCATCCTGTGGGTCGCGACCCACTAGTGGTTAGCGATGGTCTTCCATGTGGGTCGCGAGAGAATGAAATGAATTAAAAGATGAGAGAGATATTGAGAAGAAAGAGAGCAATCCTAAGTGCCAAATCGAACAAAGGAGATATATTACTTTAGATCATACCTAGAATGTTAAGCTCATCTGTTAATACGGACAAAAAGGCAGCACAGGGAGAAGGCTTGCTGGCAAACAACTCTAAGAAAGGGCAAACAGCTTTAAAATGACTTTTTATTCATTCTTACGCATAACCTTCATCCCTAGTGAACTCCTTGTCATTTCTGGCATTCCCTCTGGTTCTTAGGTGCCGTTGTTGTGAGTGACGCTGCTTTTACAGGCAGAAGCCGACGTTTATTTTCTCGAATTCGTTTCTCTGCTACATGAACTGATATAATTCCTTCTTCCTCTCAATTTTTGGAAAGGTTAACGAAGTTCTTCTCATCCGTAATTTCCTTTATTTACATATGTAGGTACAACATTTATATGCAGACGGATTGTTTCCAGATGAAACCGAGTGCAAGAGCTGAAACTAATAGTTGCATCCTGGTTAAGTCACTGAGACAGAAGTCGCAAAAAAGTCGAAACTAGTACGAATTCAGAAGCATAATGATTCATACCTTCAGTGTGATTTTCACAGTCAGAAAGTATGAAACCAGAATGTTAAGTTTGTGGTGAACTGCTGGCCAATGCATTCGTGAAGCCTTCCAAATCGAAGCAGCATTTAGATCGAAATCACCCAACATTGAATGATAAATCAGTCGAATTTTTTCAGAGGAAGATCGAAGGGGAAACATAAATAAATAATGAAGGAATCACCAGTACCAAGAACAATATTTTGAGAGCGTCATTTCCGTATTTAAAAAGGTCGATCAACTTTTTTCTCGAGTCACACGGCTGCATTATTTCTGGACGTTTCTAAATTTGTTGGTCGCATAGAGATGGGAAGAGGACATAAAGGGTCGCGACATGAAAAAGGTTGAGAACCACTGCCGTTTGACTTTATATTGTGCAGTGGGTAATGGTGATGCCACCTGGGATGGTAGTAGTCATCTCGACTTTTATGAGGCAAATGGCCTTCCCATGTCAGTATCCGTGCACCTTGCAAGTTTCGCGATCCAACTCCATCTGTTTTGGTCACTAAGGCACTGTGAAAACCCCGCAGGACTTGATAACCACCGTGTATAAGAAAATGCTATCGTTAATTGGACTCACGCGTCAACATTTTTTTTCAGAGTCAGAAGGTGGACTTGGGAGTCCTTGTGAGAGTGAAAAAGACTGCAAAGTTGAACATTCTTCGTGTAATGAAGAAAGTGACAAGAGGACGTGTAGTTGCAGACCAGGATACAGAAAAGATGAAGAAATATGCCGTGAGCTGCTCAATCCCCTCTTTTGCCTCCTGCAATTCACGTGGTCGCATTCTGATGCTCCATTCGGCATGGCTTGACAATGCATGGCGTAGGCTGAAAATAACCGAGTGGGTTGCGATACTCATTTGAGAGAATCGTCAGGTATCATATGTACTTTTTTTTTTGGAGGAAACTACTATTTCTCTTCCTTCCTTGAAACCTTCATCCGCTGTAAATATGCCTTCTCCCATAATCATCCTTGAAATTCACAACATACGGGGCTTCAGCGATAGGACTTGGCCGGAATTCAGAAAAGGCAGTTTACACAAAGTCGTGCAGAAGGAAGCTGCCTTAAAACCTATACTGGGTTTCATGCATTTGTTCATATGACGTGTGACCTGATTGCAATGAAATATTCCACTTGGAATATTCTAAAGAATCGTTTTCATGGACGTGAAGCACGCACACGTGACCAGCCTCCGGAAATACAATATTTGTCGATCTGCCTCTACATTCAATTTATTCAAGCGATTTGCAAATACGTTCCAATCTGCAACAGTAAGAGCAAGGATACAGATGAACTCACATTTTATCACAGAGTTAAGGACGTTTTTCAGCACTAGATCTCCTTCGGATGCAAATAGTAAAATACTACGCAATCATTACGTCGGTAAGCACTGTTCTATGAAGCACTTAAAATTATTGGAAGGGAATTTAACTTTCAACAACGTGTTAAAACAGCAATTAAGGCAACATACTTTTGCGCCACCCAATATGTACCTGTCTCTTCACTATAAGAACGTTCGCTTCTTCATCATGTCATAGATAATGTACTCATAAATGTTGCAGCATTAACCCAATTCGCATCCAGAAACTTTTCGGCCTATCAGACCTAAAATTCTCCAGCTTTAGCCTGACGTGCGAGGCTTACAAGTCAATGCCTTTCTAGGCCATAGTCCAGGCGGAAGGACGTGGGACGATCCGTACAGTACGCTTGTGGATGCGAGTGGTAACTGTATGTAATCGAACACGCCTATTAACCGATCGTGTAGCACTGAAAAGGATAAGAAAGAATGGGACAGGACACACAACTGGAATGTATTCTATTTGTTCGAATAGCCATTGCATCATCTGTAATATTCCCTTTCCTCACCCAGGCTTTGACATATTCGGCATTTTCATGGTCACTTAGGACTCCCCAATCTGGGCGAAGAATGTCAGCAAGGTCCAGGATGCGCCACTCCGAATGCAACTTGTGCCTTTGTTGAATCGAAAGACATGATGTGCAAATGCGTCGAAGGATATTACCAGGACGGGAAAATTTGCAGTAAGCATTCATTACCATGTTTATATTATATACTGAGAACATATTCTCGCATTTGATATAGTTTCTTAGGAGAAAAGCAGAGGCCCCTGAATTTAATTGCATACAATTTCATCGCCCACTCGTTTTAGACGTACTGAAAATATACTATTAATAATATGGAAGTTAACAGAGCTTTTCGATATCTTTCGTAATATCAGCAGGAAAGTGGGGTCTGTTCCTCTTGGCAGCTGCATTCGTCCCTGTCTTTATTATTCTCGCGAAGATTAGAGGGAATTCAATCGGAATGAGCTTCAAGTACATCTCACTAACAGAGGTTGAGAGTGCAATAGTATGCATGCTATAAAAAGCTATAAAGGGACTTGAGCAAACCAGGCGCGGCAAATTCGATACGTAGCGAGAAGGCATGCCCAATATGCGTTACATTGTTTATTAGCATTCATGAATTTGGCAAGAAATTGCAAGGAGACGGCGAGAAGGAGACAATGTGAGGAGATGGCAAAAGGAAAAATTCAGTAGCTGTCCATTTAGCTGACATTCCACATGCTACTGCTTAGTTTCTGAAATGCTAGAGATTACTGAGTTCTTAATTGTATACAATTATTCTTAATTATTTAAACATTTTCTGGACACTCATCACTTTTGCTAACTAAGTAAATTCAGACAAATGTGCTGCCAAAGAAAGGACTTACACGCTGCGACCTCATAACTGAAATTGAAATACTAAAAAACTATTTTGATCAGAATTAAACACAGGCGGAGGAAGGAGAGGATTGTCCGGTGAGGCCATCTTCGCCATCATTCTCGTGGTCGGGATCTTAGCATCCATCATCGGCTTCCTCGTCCACGCCTCCATCTACAGACCCGATCGAATACTTGCCATCAAGCGGAGACTTGGCATTGTTCGTCCCATAACCGATCGGGTGGAATACGACACCCTATAACATTACTGTGATGTACGAACTGCTACCAGCAGGTGCTGGTGCTCTGTGATCAATGTTTTGCGTGCATTAATCATCCTGTGACGATAAATTATGGAGTGCAAATTGAAACTTTTGCGGATGGAAGTGGGTCTTACCTAGAGAGTGACTCATGGAAGTATATCAGAATGCACTTAAGCCACTCCGAGCTTCACAGTGGAGGAGCCTGAAGTGACACATTCAGATGTTCGCCTCTGCCTAAACATTTTCCACCATGCCTGAAGAAATTGAAGGGGAAATGTTCTCGCGTCATTGTAAGCTTATGGATGTCATGAAAACACCGGCATTGTCACCTTATCACCAATGGGAAAATAATTGTCTTTCTCTTGTATATTGCTTTGTTTGATAGAGATGTTGGGATAAATATTTCCCACAGAGCAAACACATGCCTTGAATTGTTATTAAATTGACGTGGTGTAGGAATATATTTTTTTCAATAATTTGTATGCGGAGTATAGTATACAAGGAGTCTGCAAATAAAATAATTTTTAAAAGAATAAACTCCAAGTATTTTTCCCTAAAAAAGGTTATAGGCCTATCTATGACGACAGATACTGTCAATGGCATTTCAAAACAACGTTTCCAAGACCTCGATCAAATTTCATGAGAAATATGCAGCAGGGAAGACAACAACGCCTGTCAGTTCACCGACATCTTCATCTTATGAAAAGCGTTCTCGTTCACGAAACTCTTAATCGTATATGTTATTCTCCGGAACAAAAATCAATAACGTGATAAAATCAAATGTACGCATCCCTTTGAAATAATAAACTATGGACATGTTCTACTAAAGTGATTTAGCGCAGAAGTAGCTAAGGCTGAATTATCTTGCTAATAACTTACCTATTACCTTTGATATGAAATACACCATTGCTGGTATTTAATATCCAGGTTCGTCCAAGAGCATCATTCAACATGATCACACAAAGTAGCGATGGAAAACTCGGGTCGATGGACACTTTTCATGTTTATTTGGAAACAGCAGCAATTATTTCCTTCATGAGCATTTTCAAATTAAAGACGAGATATTACTTGAAACGAATAAATTCGCACCACGGCACCTTCAGTCCAGGCAGGGCGCGAACTACATCATTGAACACCTACCAAGGGCTGAACCACTTGGTGGATTATTTTTGTTACACTCTAGTTTCACAAGGAAACCAGGGTGCAATCACGATTGAGGTGAGAATCAAGGGTTTTGAAAACCCTCAAAGACTTCAGTTTTCGAGTGGGGACGTGGATTAGGCACGCCATGAATCATTTATCCTGGAAAACTTCAGATTTTCGACGGTGGTAGAATGAAGATTCCTATTGGAAATAATGTATAAATCGTATCGTAGAATAAATCATGCTGGCTTCGAATCCCCCGAAATAAATCATGATAAAGTAAGTGAAACCGTTATGGAACCATTGTCGTGGAACCATGTACACGCGAGCTGAAACTGGTTTATTCTTGGAGCTCCTAGGATCTCAGGGCTTAGAAGCAGCAGGTAATCAATGCTCTGATTATTCAAACCGGAGGGCCTCGATTGCGAAGCAAGGTTAAACATATGGCGTGCGCGATCCTGACTGCTTGCTAGGCCGAGCGACGAATGTGTGTTTGTGTGCGTGAGACAACTCTATAGGCCAAACGATTTGAGATATCAACTTGGGATTTCAACAGAAATCTTCCTTATCATCCGAGGATGTGCCTTTGCGAAAATAAATTTGCAAATCGGCCTCACGAAAGGGAGGGGAATCAACTTTCACAGAAAATCGGAGATTCGCTCTCGTCTTCCCGATGGACGCGGAGACAAGAGTTTCTGTGGTACTTCAAACGGAACGCTGGCATCACTCACTGCAGTGATTCCTGCCGGCTGCCGTGATTTCAAGGGATTTCAAGCGTCCATGATGAAATACGGGGCAATTCGTCAGTTCGTCGCCACTTACGTTCACACGAGCTCCGCAGAGAAGTCCATTAACGCAGTTTTATCGTGGGGGTTCATCTCTAAAAATGCAGGATTTCAACATTGCAGAATGACGCACTCTTTCGTCGCTTTTTACATCACCCTCAGTCATTTCAAAGTGTTCACAAACGACGCAAGGAAGCCGACGAACGCGAGAGTACTTCAAAAGTTCTACTGCTTTCCCGTATCACAGTCTCATTGATAGATGACTAACAAATTAAAGGTATAATCTATGGGAGACGGGAGCTTGCAAATAAAGGGTGATCTACGAATCGTGACTATGTTGTTGGTGGCATGTTTCTTGTCTTCCTCCATTCGTCTGAGCTAATGTACGATGCTAGCTGTTCAGGTTTCTGAGATTGGGACTCCCCCATATTTTGATGGTTTATTTTCCGTGGCTGTTGCCTCGTGTCTGTGCGCCAACACTGAGAAGGTGTCTTATAGTAGAGTGAAGTGGAAAAGACTCGCTAGTGTTGGAAAGTGCACTTCACGTAGTATGCTGCTTTCAAACTACAACGGTGTGATTCTGTCATATGGATGATATTTAAAATTTCGAAGACGTTAAGATTAGAGCCCCAGAGCTCCCGTGGGGTTATTCCATGTCCGCGGTCTTGCATGGCTATGCCCATTACATGGTCTTACGCCACGAAGACCTCTTGTGTTTTGGGGGGGGGGGGGGGGGGGGGCATCCGGTTACGCCGGCCC